CAGGCGCAGTCGGCCACCGTCGGCCGTTTGTCCTTCTGATTTGCTTTCCGCACGCGTATTCCTTCTCTCACTGGATCTAAGCCTGAAGCCGGAGGCCGAATTGCCTCGAAAGACTCGGTCTGCGTAAGAAAATAAACCAAAGTCTTTAGCAAATTAAAGCTTGAATTAGAGAAATACAATAGATATCTGGCTGCGATTTGGGAAGAGTTTAATACAGATAAGGGCTATCTTGAGGACAGCATAGCAAAAAAAAAGACTACCATTCCAGTGGTTTGCTGCTCACGTCTGAAGCGCTGCTTTCTGGAATGTTAGTGTCTGGAAGTTGTCAGTATCAGGTCTGAAGACAGCAATCACCTGGCATTAAAAGATAGAGCAGCAGTTTAGATTGGGACTTTCTGTATCTTCTTATTAACAGTTCAAATATTTTTTAAAAAAATTTAAAAACATTGGGACACCCGTCTTTAAGACATGCTTTACTATCCGATGATTCCTGTATCTAGGAATGGGTAGTTGATGTTTGTGGGCTGGGTCTCGGTGTGTGAAACAACCTCGTGGTTGCTGAGAAGGCGGAGGAAGAAAACCGAAACCCGGAACAGCTTCTTGCGTACTAATGCAAACTAATTTTTTTGAGTTACCTCTTTTTTGTAGTCTTAAAGACCCAGAGCGCCTGTTGTCTATTATTACCCACTTTCGTTTCGGTAGACAAGTCTTGTGTACATACTCCTCCTCCATGGCTCAGCTCCTTCTTCGCGACAATAAAGTAGAAGTAAAGCGTCCTTTTCTTTCACCTCTCTTCCTCGCCTCCTGGGATCTTTTCAAGAACTTCTTCTGTACTTATGACTTTGTGGGTCTCGGTTGTCTTTGCCTAATTCCTCCCAACTCCTATTTTGTTTGTTTGTTTGGCTTTACTCTTGGCTTCCGCGCGTTTTTCCAACGGAAGCGATACCTTGCCGGGTTCCTCGGGGATCTCCAATCACACCGATCGCTGCCTGGCTTCTAAGGCTGTATATAATTTGAATTGTGACTGTAGAGGGCTTTGAGGGGCTTCACCCCTTTGATTCCTGAATGAAGCACATGTGATTTTAAGAATGAAAAATGGACCGAGTCACTTACAGGCTGCCTACTGGGATGTTTCACCATTTCTCAAAACACAAAGTTTATTACTATTATTTTTTTAGGTAGATAATAGACATTGCTTTTTTTTTTTCTAAACCAGGCTGAAAGTGGAGCTCTGAATGAGGTTGGTAGAACTTTTAATATCTGTTTGTTTTATTTATTTGAGAGATTTATGTATGAATGTATGTATGTATGTATTTTGAGAGAGAAAATCCCCAAGCAGGCTCCATGTTGTCGGTGTAAAACCCAATACAGAGGCTAGATCTCAGAACCATGAGATCATGATAATATATATATATATATATATATATATCTCCTATCTTGGTCCATGAGGAATACCATAGAATGCCCCAAAGTCTGAAAATATAGGAAAAATCATAGATTACTTTTTTCCTTCAATTTAACAATTGAATCCATTGTCTCAAATTTAGAGGTCAATGAAAAGGGTGTTTGAAGCTGAAGAAAAACACTTTAACGCCTATCATCTGAACATAAAACTAATACATTATTTGAAAATAAGTTTATCCTATATTTCCAGACTTTTGGGACACTGTGTAAACTCTATTACCTAACACACTACTCCTCTATTGACATAGTGTTATTCTTTTACCCAAAGTCCACTAGCCTCAGTTCTCCCTAATACAAGTAACTCTTCATAATCATTACAACCCACTTTCCAAGACTGCCTTTTTGCTATATAAAACATGAAAACATTGCTGATGTCTGAGAGAGACTGTAGTCCTAATTTCAAGAGGGTCAATTGAAAAAATTTTAATTTGAGAAAAAATTAAATTGGAAAAAAAAACTTCAACAAAGTAGAATGCTTTAAATATAATCATAAACATTTCCCAGAAATTAAGAGTAGTAGTTGATACCCTCTCCTAATGTTTATCGTTTCTTGAGAGAAAAATATCTTGCCATATCTTTTACCAATTCATTATGAAAAAGCAATTGTAAAGTCTGATGATGATAATTGCTTTACATTTGTTGAGAGCATACAAAATGGCAGGACTTTACATGCCTTACCAGATTTAATCCTTATCACATGTATATGAAGTATATACATTTTATACTTGAGGAAACTGTCACAAGAGGTTACACAACTCATGCAAAATAACACAAAGTTACATAGTGATAAGTTGAAATTCAAACCCAAATTCAAACAACTACTGCTTCCCATTATCTGATCATGTTATTCAACTTAAAAAATGCAAAAATAATACAAAAACACTGCTGGACTTTAAAAGGCAACAGTAATAACATGGTTTTAAATTATTTTCTCCTTAGGGGAGCCTGGGTGGCTCAGTTGGTTAAGCGTCCAACTTTTGAGTTCAGCTCAGGTCCTGATCTCACAGTTTCATGGATTCAAGCCCCACACGGGGCTCTGTGCTGACAGTGCAGAGCCTGCTTGGGATTCTCCCTCTATCCCTCTCTCTCTGCCACTCCCCTGCTTGCTCTCTCTGTCCTTCTCAAAATAAATAAACTTTAAAAAACAAAATAAAGTATATGTTATTTTAAAAATAAATACTTTCCTCCTTAAATGAGATTAAAGATTTGTGAAAAATATTTCATTTATTCTTAGAGAAGAATAGTGCTGTGGTTATTACTAAATCCTAACAAAACACATATATTTATAATTTAATCATATGAAAATATCATAATTGAAACAATCGTGGGGGGCACCTGGGTGGTTCAGTTGGTTAAGCGTCTGACTCTTGATCTCAGCTCAGGTCATGATCTCATGGTTCATGAGTTTGAGCCCCATGTTGGGCTCTGTGCTAACCACATGAAACCTGCTTGGGATTCTCTCTCTCCCTCTCTTTCTCTGCCCTTCCTCTGTGCTCCTGCTCTCTCGAAATAAATAAACTTAAAAAAAAATGATCTGTGGAGTATCTTCTTAATTTTGAAAATATATTTCCTATGCATGGTAGAGAAGAGTCTCCTCCTCCTCCTCTTAGCTTATTCTACTCCGTAGCTAAAAAACTATTTTCAGTTCATGTAATTTGATAATGGTGACAGTATTACTTTTCCTATTTAAAAAAAAATCAATTATCTTTAATCTTTGCTATGAAAACAAAACCGTTTTTGAAAAGTCATCTGTTGCAATACATTCTATTTGAGGCAGATCATGAATATTATCAGAAAACCTTGGCTAATAAGTAGTCATATTTACTGGGTTCTTTGTGTACTATACAATATTCCTAATAAATCCAAAATACCATCCCTACTTCACTTTATTTTTTTTCCCTGCTTCACTTTAAAGCCTCCTCATGTGTTACAGATTCACCCACTACAGAAGCTTTACTAGTTCCTTGATTAACTTCTACATTAAAAAAAATCATATAAAGAAAGTCATTTCTTTAAAAAAGCTCCACTTGGTGGGGGATGTTGAAAATGCGTAAGACTATGTGTGTGTAGGGGCAGGGGCTTTATGAGAAATCACTGTACCTTCTGCTCAGTTTTTCTTTGAACCTAAAACTGCTCTAAAAACTAAAATCTATTTAAAACAAGACCCCAGGGGCGCCTGGGTGGCGCAGTCGGTTAAGCGTCCGGCTTCAGCCAGGTCACGATCTCGCGGTCTGGGAGTTCGAGCCCCGCGTCAGGCTCTGGGCTGATGGCTCAGAGCCTGGAGCCTGTTTCCGGTTCTATGTCTCCCTCTCTCTCTACCCCTCCCCCATTCATGCTCTGTCTCTCTCTGTCCCAAAAATAAATAAACGTTGAAAAAAAAAAAAATTTTTAAAACAAGACCCCAAAAGCTCCACTAAGTTTCCCCAAACATCACCACTTTCTAATCTTTGGTTCCTTATACTCTATGTGTCTTACATTTATTTCCATGCTTCATGCTATGGGTTTCCTATTTCATAGCTTCAGGTAACTCTCTCCTACCCCTATCATCTCCTACCCCAAACAATGTAAAATCATCTTTAAGATCATTTTGTACAGAAAGTTTAATACAATTACAAAGAGAATGGGAACTCTAACACTTTTTAGACTCAAACAAGTGACTTTAATGTGTTTAAGACAACTACCATGTGTAAAATGATAGCCCTTCATACAATAGAAATAGAATAACTCTAGAATTCTCCAGACTAGAATCAAAACAGGGATTAATTTTAGGTAAAATGGTTGCTCACCTGTGGTATAATTTATAACTGAAGCTATAATTTTTAAAATAATTTTTATTATGAAATTTATACCCATTGTAGAAAATTTTAAAAATACAGGTAAACAAGAAATACATTATTCTTCACATTATTACTAATGTAAGGATATTCTTATTAATCAGAGAGCAACTGAGAAGTTTTGCTCAGTAATTCTCTCATTTCAATCAAAACCATCTTTTATTTCTTCTACTCAAACTATAAACTTAATCATAAATACTTTAGCTAATAGATTAAAGCAGGAATTTCATCTTTATACATTGTTATTCACATGACACACACATATCTGCCCATTACCAAGGTATGTCTGATTGCCAGTATATCATTGGTACTTCCATAGCTTTCTTTTGCTTCAAGAAAGCACAGTGGCACATGGCATGCAAGTTAGTGACTGAGATGTGGATAAAGCAATAACCTTGAATTCAAATGTATATACAAAAATAAATGTAAGTTACATGTAAACTCTGGCACTAGTTACAGGTTATGACACATTTCCAACTAATCTCAAAGTCACATCATGCCTAGACATAGTGGCTGGGAAGTATTGGTTTAATGTACTGTTAGTAGTTCTAAAAGGAAATCTTTTAAAATCTTCACATAACTTAAAAACGAATGTCACAGAAATAGTATTTTCAAAGCAATGTAAGTCAAGTTTCAAGAAATTAGTAAGGTTAATACATTTGCTAGATAGGGTAAAACTTATTATTTATAAAATATACTCACCATTTGTGCATTAGAATCCCCCAATGACTGAAGTTCATATTGAATAGGCTGCCCATTTTGGTCCACTAGATGGAATTGTTCTGTAGAAAGAGTCTGTGTCTGAGTCAGGGTCCCTGGTATATTCTGTGATGTGAGTGAATTATCTACTTCATGAGAGGTGATGGGTAAAATTCTAGGAGAACCATTTTGTCCAAAGGAAGGATCCCTGGAGTCCATACAGGTTAGATGCTTTTGCAAAGAGAAAAAAAGCACTTGGGTGTTTGTAAAACATAATGTCACAATTAAAAAAAAATTTTTTTTTTCTAAAGATTTTATTTTTAAGTAATCTCTACACCCAATGCAGGGCTTGAACTCACAACCCTGATATCAAGAGTCACATGCTCTACCCACTGAGCCAGCCAGTTGCCCCTAATGTCACAATAAAAAAATAAATAAAATAGAACATTTATCAGGCACTGTGGACAATAGTATGGAGGTTCCTCAAAAAGTTAAAAATAGAGCTACCCTATGATCCAGTAATCACACTACTGGGTACTTACTCCAAAAATACAAAACCACTAATTCAAAGGGATACATGCACCTCTATGTTTATAGCAGCATTATTTATAATAGCCAAACTATGGAAACAGTCCAAATGTCCACCGACTGATGAGTGGATAAAGAAGATATGCTATATATCCACAATGGAATACTATCCAGCCATAAAGAGAATGAAATCTTGCCATTTGCAACAACATAGGTAGAGCTAGAGAGGATAATGCTAAGAGAAATAAGTCAGTCAGAGAAAGACAAATACCACATGATTTCACACATATGTGGAATTTAAGAAACAAATGAGCAAAGGAAGAAAGGGAGAGGGAGAGGGGAAGAGCGGAGAGAGAGAGAGAGAGAAACCAAGAAACAGGCTCTTAGTAAATAGAGAACTGATGGTTATCAGAGGGGAGGAGTGTGGGTGGATGGGTTAAATAGGAGATGGGGATTAAGGAGTGCACTGGTTGTGATGAGCACTGGGTGATGTATGGAAATTCTTGAATCACTATATGAATCACCTGAAACTAATATAACACTGTATGTTAACTATACTGAAACTTAAAGTAAAATAGCATGTTATAATAAAAATGGAAAGATTCATTTTCAGTTAATTATCCTCTTTATTTTTTGTAAGAGTTGTCAATTCACGGGGCGCCTGGGTGGCGCAGTCGGTTAAGCGTCCGACTTCAGCCAGGTCATGATCTCGCGGTCCGTGAGTTCGAGCCCCGCGTCGGGCTCTGGGCTGATGGCTCAGAGCCTGGAGCCTGTTTCCGATTCTGTGTCTCCCTCTCTCTCTGCCCCTCCCCCGTTCATGCTCTGTCTCTCTCTGTCCCAAAAATAAAATAAACGTTGAAAAAAAAAAAAAAAAAA